ATAATGTTATTAATGTCCGTAAATAAAAAAGTTAAATAATATGGAAAGTGAAAGCAAATATGCTGATACATGATAAACAGGGCCCAGTTAGCTCAATTACAACAAAACAATTTGAAGGCTATAGTGGGGTGGGGGGGGGGGTGCGCCTATGGGGCTGGCAGAGCGGCCCGGAGTGCAGAGAGCGGCCAGCGGGGGCTAGGGAAGTGGAAGTTCAAAAGTTGACTCGCGACAATGTTCATCCTGATGATCGGATTATCTACACAGATGGTTCTGTATTGAGAGGGAAGGGAAGTGCCTGGGGTTTCGTAGCGAAAGCCAATGAAAATCCTTTAGTTCAGGACAGCCTGGCATATGGTACCACAACATCTAGCATAAAAACGGGGGTGGAGGCGGTCACTCCAGCTCTTCGGTAGCTAGAGAACAAGATACAGGCACATGTGGTAATTATAACGGACTCTCAAAGCATGCTGAAAAGGTGAAGACAAGATTGCCTAGAGCAGAGTGGCAAGCTTCAATTGCAAGGCCACGGGTGGTGGGCATACTTTGGATCTTTTCTCCAGGCTATACCAGCGTGGTGGGGAATGAACAGGCAGACAGATTGGCCAGATCTGCACCGCTGGCCAGTGAATAGGTACATGACAAAGCAGATGTTGTCAGAGCCCTTTGGGAACAAGTAACGAAGTCAAAGGAGAAACCAGATTATTACAAGCTGGAGTGAATGATGCACCTGGGTGTGACCAGAGGGTTCGGCCGGCACACTCAGGGGAAAGGTGAAACAGGCATACAACCAGACTACGACCGGCGCTATTAGTATTGGAACTCTACGCTGGCTGCCGAGGATGGGTAAAGCCCCGAGTGCTGTGATGTCAATTCTTGACTCTCTTCAACCGCTCACAGGAATTAGCCTCTCCTAGATAGCAACAGTTATAATTGTTAGCTCTTGTTCAAGTTGTCATTTCATTGTGTTTCTTCGTGTTTGTGGTTCTAGTCACGACAGCCGGTCGTGTTCTAGCCTCCCACGTCTGTCGAGCCATGTTTTCTACATTCTCTTTGTAGGGCCGTCATCTTTGTGCTGATTGGTTAGTTTGGTGCTCGTCATGTTGCCGGATCATAGGGTCTCTGCCATTGGTTGCTGCCCTCTGTTCCATTTTCGGGATGTCTCTGCTATTGTATTCGCTCTGTTGAAGTCAGTCAGTCAGGTGGTTTGTTGCATCGCCTGATATGTCGGCGGTTTCAGCTACGCTATACACGAGAAGTACCTCAGTTGTTGCCTTGATTTGCCTCTGGCATTCGCAGTGTTCTCCGTATGCTGTCTTTATCCATGTCTCCGATGATATTAAATGAGAAATGCCTAGATGGAGGAAACGAAGACGTCCTAAAGAAACCCTAAAACAAATGTTGATGAGAGGTCAAAGGTGACACACTAGATTCCCTCCATTATATTAAAAGGATTGCACAAGATAGAACAGAATGAAGGAGTAGACTCTGAGCCCTATAACAGGACAACAGGACGATGATGATGCTAATTATGAGGATGATGATGTTTTTGCGTAATTATTTGATTATATTACACATGTACTATAAACACTTTGTTGCTGTTATCGTGAGCGGATTTGTCCCCCCCCCCCCCCCCCCCCCCCCCCCCCCTAGATCAACCCAACCTGAAATTGGTACCAGATAATATCTGGGCAGTAAAGGCGGCCAGCGTGTTGCTCACCACATCATTTGGTTTGGTTTAATGTAATATAGGTCTAGTGCTATATGCTCGATGAGAGCTTGTCTGTACCTGCCGAAACGAAGGTCGTGGTTTCAAAATTACCTTGGCTTTCTGGTCGACCCAGCCTTGAATGAGTACCAGGTAAAATCCTGGGCGGTAAATGCAGCCAGTATAGTACTGACTACTAGATCCCGCACCGAAAGTCGATTAGTTTAACAAATACAGGTTTACCACTATATGCTCGGGAGTCACCGTGGCGTAGCGGCTAGACGCTCGCGTGCGGATCAGAAGCGGAGCCGGACTTTTTTTTTTAAATGACCAAGTATTTCAGGTGGACCCAGCCTTGAATGGCTAACGGATGCAGTCCCGGGAAGTAAAGGCAGACCATGTGATACTAACCACATCAGCCTTCTTGTGCCGATTGGTCTATAAAACATATAGGTCTACCCCTATATGCCCTTTACACCTAAAGGCGTGGGAAAGGGAAGGGACCTTTACTTACTGACCAAATGCCCACATCACGGGACGCCCTGGAAAAGGGTCCTGTATTTGTTGAAAACTTATTTACTTACGGTTATGTCGTAGATTCTGGTACTCCTTCTGGCCATACTGGCAATTATGGAGATTAAGCCAGAGGAGGAAGGCCGCGAGTCTGTCCAGGAAGCAGGAAAAAAGGAGGAAATGGAGGAAGCTCCTCCGGCGAAGAAGTTCGTTCCGTACGCCAAGATCAGCTCTTTCGTTCACCCAGATCTCAGCCGCATTAAGTCCACTGAAATTTGGTAAAAGGTAAGACATCTTGATCCTGCTTATACAGAGAGACAAGAAGAACAACCAAAACAAAGAATAAAAGGGTGGCGGGAGAAAGAAAGGGAACTTTAATATAACAGAGCCTGGTATATATTACCACAACATATTGTTTGAGAATGGAGGTGGAGGTAGTCACTGTGGCCTTGATAACACATCTCTTCACAAAGCTTGTTGAAAAAGTTGGCGTTAGATTTTTGAAAAAAAAAAAAAAAAAACAGGCGGAGATATTGTCTAGTTCTGCTACACTTGGTTTTTAAACTCTTGTATGATAGGCTGCAGTCGGCTCTGTGGCTAAGTCGATGTGAACGCTTCGTAATGCCGGGGTGCCGTGTTCGATCCCCGCTGCGGGCCATGCGCCTTGCGTTGGTTTCGATGGTGGTATCAGGGGGCCGACCGTCCACAAAGTACTGGCAAACAACTGGACATAAATTTGCCTAGAGAAACCACACAACAGCCAGGGGCTGCTGGGGTTGGTTCTGCAACGTCCTGTAAAAAGGGAAAAGGCAAGACGGGTATATAATCATTACTGGTACCGTCGGAGCTTGAACGCTACTTTGATTGCTGAAGATAGGGACATGCGACTATGATATGGGTTTCATTGTAGCATCGAGCTACTGGTAAAGGACACATATTTGTTATAGACCAATCATCATTCGATGAGTGATGTGGTTAAAGGGACACTGTTGCCTTTACTTCCCATAAAATGTCCTTATATTTTAGACGCTGTCGACCTGGGAGCTGGCCAGTTATAAAAATCTGCTTTAATGAGAATTCGAACCTAGGAAATTCGGACAAGCAGATAAGCATCTGGACATTGCTCACCCATGGCCCTTCGTCCGTCTGAAAACAAAATATCAAACCAAAGGAAAAGTAGAACCGGTCAGCTTCACATCATCACAAATATAAACAAGAAGTGAACGCTGCGGCAAGAGAGCTTTCATCAGCACAGAACGTGAGTCAACACTGCACAGGTGTAAACAACTATATACACAAAATCACTTAACTGAGGTATTCCCGATAACCATTTTGTTTGGCCAGGACTTCTTGTTTCGTTCGCTTGAAATAGATTATATGTAATGTTGTCTCTCAGCGATCCATAAAGTTTGGCTTCAACCGCTGTTTCTTTTTTTAATTTTATTTTTTATTTGGGACAGTTTTGGAGGAAACGGTCTGTAGTCTCCCGTGCCATGACTAGCCACTGTGTGGAAAGAGACATAGCCACATACGATATCACCTGGTGCAGGTAGTCGGTCCTAAGGGTCCTTTGGGGGGCGAATAAACGGTATGAAGGCAACAGATAGACCATCACGGTGTGAGGAGAACGGGGCTGCGAGGAGTGACCAGGGGATCTGGCCTACGATCAACATTCAGAGCAAAGATGAGACGTATATGCAGTCACTGTTACTGGTACTATCGGAACTGTAACTCTCCACTTGCTGCTGGAGATGTGGACGGAGCGCTTATGGGAATGCCCTGAGGGCTGTCGTGTCGATTCTTTATTAAATATGAAACATTTTTTTTAAACAATTGCAGTATGTAGGAATAGCATTTCAAGGATGAAAATCAAACGGGTATAAATGCCAGAAAAACACAGTTCAACAGCACAGCCATCTATCAGGGTTATCTTGTAGCACTAAAAGCATTTACGAAGTAAACCTGTAGTCAACGATGTTTAGTATGTTGACGTCATCTCTATTATACTGTAAATACAGCGAGACACAGGGTGATATGCTAAATATCAGTTGTGCAGACACAGGGTGATATGCTAGGTAATCAGTTGTGCAGACACAGGGTGATGTGCTAGGTAATCAGTTGTGCAGACACAGGGTGATATGCTAGGTAATCAGTTGTGCAGACACAGGGTGATGTGCTAGGTAATCAATTGTGCAGACACAGGGTGATGTGCTAGGTAATCAGTTGTGCAGACACAGGGTGATATGCTAGGTAATCAGTTGTGCAGACACAGGGTGATATGTTAGGTAATCAGTTGTGCAGATCAAATGGTTTGGACATCTGTCTAGAATGCAGCCATAACAGCTACAATCACAGGCGCTTCACGGGAACAGTTATGATGTAAAAGCAAGAGTTCGCCCAAGGAGAAGATGTATTGATGAAATTAAACACAGTCTACATGGACACATCATGGCAGTAACCATTGCCACCCATCAAGCAATGGATCGCAAATTGTTCCTTCCGCGACGCTTACATGCATTAGTCGAAATCGATGATTAATTAATTATGCGCTTTGTTTGTTTGTGTCTTTAATAATTAAATATTGCTGAATAAGATGTGTTTTTCTTTTATACAGCCACAACATGAAGCAGGCTTGTGCATTATTTTTCCCCTGTGTTGGCCATTTCTGCATTGTCGTTTGTGACATCTTCGCGCGCAGACCAGACTTGCCAGTTTGTCCGCAAGATTGTCCCTCCTTCTAGGATTAGCAATCGCCTAATCTAAACACATCAACAAACCATCCAATGTACTATAATATTGAGGGGAGAAACAATTGTAACTTATAGATGGTTGTTATAAGCAAGATGACACCTTTTATAATACTTATTGTTTTGTCTTGTGTTTCCATGACACCGTCAGAAAATGTTTAGGGTGGTATCTTGTCTGGAGAATAAATATCATCTTGTTGTTTGATATAAATATAATGTGCCTTGCACATATAAACTGAGGAACCATCAAAATGAAGGGAACATCTAGAATAAGGAAATATGAATTTTATAAACAGAAGAATGTGTAATTTATTCTGAATTAATGAAACAATTATTAATGAAATTTTGATCAATGAATATATATGTACAAAAGAAGGATGGGGAAAAAAAAGAAAAAGAAACAAATCAAACATCCGTACTAATTAGATGATGTTTTAAGTAATACCTTTTAATAAATGAAAGGTGGGTATTATTTAGCTCATTCTATACCAAGCAGCTTATCATTCGTTTTGTCTGAATTTTTATTAAATTAAACTACAAATATGTTTCCAGAATCAGGGATATTTTGTTCTATAGTCCTCTCAAAGACTCTACGCTACAATTGAAAACATGTTTTTTTTTTTTTATTGTTTTTTTTTTTTTTAAAGATGAATTGTTTTAAGTTCCGAAATTGTGAAATCGTAAGCTGTAGCTTCTTTAGCTGATACCTAAATCCAGCACTGGTCAGAGGTGTGTTTTAAATCATTTCTGACACAGATGATTTCCTTGTACTTTTATGCCAAACTCAAGCATCTTCTTTCTTAGTCTCCGTCTGCCCTTCCTTCCCTCCAATCGTCCAGTTTTCACGATGTAGCCAAAGAATGTAGATTGTCTATTTCTGATGCCCGCATGAGAATTTTCGTTTGTCTCTTTCTGATAGGGGTAAACAAATCTCTCGTTTGTCTCTTTCTGATAGGGGTAAACAAATCTCTCGTTTGTCTCTTTCTGGTAGGAGTAAACAAATCTCTCGTTTGTCTCTTTCTGATAGGGGTAAACACATCTCTCGTTTGTCTCTTTCTGATAGGGGTAACCAATTCTCTCGTTTGTCTCTTTCTGATAGGGGTAACAAATTCTCTCGTTTGTCTCTTTCTGATAGGGGTAAATAAATCTCTCGTTTGTCTCTTTCTGATAGCGGTAAACAAATCTCTCGTTTGTCTCTTTCTGATAGGGGTAACCAAATCTCTCGTTTGTCTCTTTCTGATAGGGGTAACCAAATCTCTCGTTTGTCTCTTTCTGATAGGGGTAAACAAATCTCTCGTTTGTCTCTTTCTGATAGGGGTAAACAAATATCTCGTTTATCTCTTTCTGATAGGGGTAACCAATACTCTCGTTTGTCTCTTTCTGATAGGGTTAAACAATTCTCTCGTTTGTCTCTTTCTGATAGGGGTAAACAATTCTCTCGTTTGTCTCTTTCTGATAGGCGTAAAGAAATCTCTCGTTTGTCTCTTTCTGATAGGGGTAAACAAATCTCTCGTTTGTCTCTTTCTGATATGGGTAAACAAATCTCTCGTTTGTCTCTTTCTGATAGGGGTAAACAAATATCTCGTTTGTCTCTTTCTGATAGGGTAATCAATTCTCTCGTTTGTCTCTTTCTGATAGGGGTAAATAAATCTCTCGTTTGTCTCTTTCTGATAGAGGTAAACAAATCTCTCGTTTGTTTCTTTCTGATAGGGGTAAACAAATCTCTCGTTTGTCTCTTTCTGATAGGGGTAAACAAATCTCTCATTTGTCTCTTTTTGATGGGGGCAAACAAATCTCTCGTTTTTCTCTTTCTGATAGGGGTAAACAAATCTCTCGTTTGTCTCTTTCTGATAGGGGTAAACAAATCTCTCGTTTGTCTCTTTCTGATAAGGGGAAATAATTCTTTCGTTTGTCTCTTTCTGACAGGGGTAAACAATTCTCTCGTTTGTCTCTTTCTGATAGGGGTAAACAGTTCTCTCGTTTGTCTCTTTCTGATAGGGGTAAACATTTCTCTTACTTGTCTCTTTCTGATAGGGGTAAACAAATCTTTCGTTTGTCTCTTTCTGATAGGGTAAACAAATCTCTCGTTTGTCTCTTTAATATGGGAGTAATCAGTTCTCTCGTCTGTCTCTATCTGATGGAATTAATTAATTACAATAATAAATTCTCTCGTTTGTCGCTTTCTGATGCGGACAGCCAGTTCTATCGTTTGTCTGTTTCTGATACGGACAGCCAGTTCTATCGTTTATCTCGTTCTGATGGGGGTAATCAGTTCTCTCGTAATTACTTTCTTTCAAAACACTCTCATCACACTTTGTGTGTGTGTGAGTCTTGTCACTTGTCTATAACAATTCATCTGCATTTGTCCATTGAATGTTTCCATAACCCACTTACTGTCCATGGCCCATTAGGATAATCCCACAGCCTCAGAGGCGGATATGTTTAGAGGGCTTGGTATAGAAAGAGTTAAAAAACAAAACTTTTTATTATGTGAAGGGTTAAACCAAAATGATGAAGTAACAATATTAAAAACAA